TTAATATTGTAAAATATTATTGTCTGTTTGTCTACTCGAACATTATCCCTGTAAACGACGCAGTAAACCTACATAATACGATAACTCGTTACAAAGAATTCAAATAGCGTTTTTCTCCAGTGAATAACGAAATGAGTAGCATTCGTCTTATTAAACTATGAACTTAAACATTTTTAATTTCATAAATATTATTATAAAAAAGGTAAGATTTGATTGTTCGTTTGCATTGAATAGACGCTTAGCGTTCAAACTACTGAAATGTTATTATAATTACGTTATAGTCTGACATAGGCGAAGTCGCGGGTAAAGATGTGACATTATTTATGAGGAAATGCCATAAAAATCTATGACATTTTACTTGTGAAGCGTCACAATGGGATATTTTTGTCATTTATAATTTTCTCCAGTTACAACGAGAACTGTGTAGTGACTCTTCATAACAATCTTTTTGTGATTTCGTTTATGTTCTATAATTTAGTTAATGTGTTACTATCACCATGTTGTAAAAACTTAAAGCGGGATAATACTTTTGAAGTTGCGCTACATTGTCACATACCGCTTTTGTCTTAAAATTTATCAGGGTATTATATTTTTTAATTAAATTTTAAAAAGGATCTTTATCCACATACACTACGGAGTACCTACTACTGTTACAATAAAAAAGTAACTACCACACACGCTGATTGAAATATATCCCTAGGAGTGTACAATAGTTTGTATTCACTATCTCTTTCACCGCGTACCCACAATTGCTCTATCGAGATATGTGCTGTGAGACCCGGATTTAAGATGAATAAATACAGTACGACATACAGCGAAGAAAGTTTGTTTTTCAAAATATTCTCGAAAAAAAAAAATTTGGTTCTCACTTTTCGCGTCTACCCCAAAAGAAGTTCCCGCGATAAAAGTTTCACGCCGGGAATATAACGCGGTAACGCTCATTATAATAAATTTATACCACTCCCCGTACAAGTACGCGCGTTGTCGTATTTTTATTTCATTGTCGGCGGTTGGAAATTACTTTTTGTTTATAAAAGGAATTATGAGCTAATATAAACAGCCGTTTTGCGTTCAAATAAGACTTTTGCAAAGTTGCTGCAAGTTCGATATAAATGTATTTGTTCAGTTGGATATGAGAATTATTAATTGTTACTAAGATAATTAATTAATGTTTACAAAAAACCCGACCAAGTGCGAGTCGTACTCGCGCATGAAGGCTTCCGTACCTACAATTGAATCTATGAAAAAGACACATACAGACACACTGCAAAAATATCATGTCTGGTGTACGGGAGCCCTTTAAATATTTTTTGCTCCCTTTTTAACAAATATTTTTGTTTCCGTAAAAAATAACTATGTATTTATTTTTTTACGGAAACACATCATCTGTGAGATTTTCAACGGTGTCTGTCATGGTTTATAAGATGTAGTTTGGTGACGGACATACAGACGGACGGACCACGGTTTCATAGTAATAGGGTAGGGTTTTAACTATAATTGGGTAAGGTACAACTAAAGTCAGCGGTAATGGCTTATAATAGCAAAAGCTTAGACTTTTTTCAAATTTAAATTCACTATTCAATACCTATTATTTATTCAGTTTAGGCTGTTACAAGCACTTGTGAAAGTCGAAAACTATGCCATCGGTTCGCAAATCTACGGCGGGAGATCTTGTACTGAGAAGAACCGGCAAGAAACTTCATTAGACTATGAAGTCACTTTCCATTACAATATCAGAAATGAGTTTACCAGCTTATATAGAAATGTACGGATCCCATTGCGGTTTTGTATCTAGTGATACGTCCAAAAGTTTTGTTGAACTTACTATCTCTAAATATGTTGTTGAGTTTAATTTCAATTGATTGAAACCTATGCGAGTGACATAGGTTACTATTTTCCAAAATATTGATAATGCAGTCGATGAAGTTAAGTCTTAAAACTATGTATATACAAATGTAATATAAAACTATATGTATACAGGTTTGTCAGTTTTAAAAACATGACCGTTTTGTTTCCAGTCACGTGACGCGGACAGCGAGCTGGCTGCCTCCCGTGGAGAGCTGGTCATCCTCGCGGGAGGGTAGCGCCAGCAGCCAGGTAGAAGACGAGGAGGAACTGCCTTACGGTTGGGAGCAGGCGTTAGACAGCCATGGGAAGCCATACTACATCAAGTCAGTATAACTTAAATGATTACACAGCACGAGCTTTTTGGTCTACTCTGTCGATCTAGCATCATAAACAAAGTATATGGTAGCAATCCGGCGATAACTGTCATTCTAATTCAGATGAATATGAAAGCTTAAAACAATATACATATAATTCATAATATTCCAACTGCTGAACTTGACTTGACCTTCTTCGTGGAACTAAATACGTAACGAATAGACAATAGCTTGTCACGCAGTGCAGTTAGCATTACAGCACTACAAATGTAGCCGAGATCTCTGTCTTAATAAATTCCAAAGCTCTCAGATGCTCAGACCCCAAAGATGCTTGGAGCTAAAATGCTAGAATTCTTCATCTCAAGGAAAAAATGTAGAGAAATGCAATTCGGGAAAAAGCCGACATTCCTGGCTCAATTACTTAATAGATTGGTTTGACGGAACACTGCATCCCTGTTACGAGGAGTAGCCTCCAGAAGTGGCATACTAAAAAGAAGAAAAAGTGTGTTTAAATAAATGTTACATAAAAGCTCAATTAATAACATCACATAAGTGTATGCCCTCAATGTTCTTTCTAATAAAGGCAATAGTTTTAATTTGTTAAATCTTGCTCTTTCCAGCCACGTGAACAAAACGACCACCTATGTAGCGCCGGAGGGGTGCTCCTGTGAGTCACCGCCTGCACCGCGCGACGTTCTCTTGGAAAGAGATCCAGAGTTAGGCTTCGGATTCGTTGCCGGATCCGAGAGACCGGTTCTTGTGCGGTTCGTCACCGACAACTCGCCTAGTGTTGGAAAGGTAATTTACCCTCTTTCACTCTATTAACAGCAGCTGTACCGCCAAACTAATTGTATTTCGTACAGCTGTTTTGAATTTGAATTTGATTTAATTAATGTTAGATATCCTACATCAGATTATGCGGTTGGGATTCATGATGATGAAAAATTTCTAATATCGAAATCATAATCAGACATTACGAGTAAGTACTGGCTGGTCAATAAACTCGACAGTTTAGCGATTAGACATATATTCAGTTTTATTTTTATGTAACGAAATATTGGAAATTATTAATTATTACAGGCATAAAGGTCAAATTGATTACTTCCGTTCCTTTGAAGTTGGTTAACGTAAAAATTTGTCGCCTACAGATGGGTTCGGTCGTTAAAAATTGTACAGTTACATTCATGACAACGTAACAAACGTTACATACGAGACTCAATGTTACATTCATGATCAGCATAAAGCTTAGTTCAGATTCGTACAATAAAATGATTTATGATTATAAATCTTAATACACTAGTTTTTTTTTACATTTGGTTATAATGCCGCTAATAATGGTGATACTTATTATGTTTTATAACAAAACAATTAATTCTGTCGAACATCTAAATATATATAACTCAAAGGTGAATGACTGACTGACATAGTGATCTATGAACGCACAGCCTTAAACCACTGGACGAATCGGGCTGAAACTTGGCATGCAGGTAGATGTTATCCGCTAAGAAAGTATTTTGATCAATTCTACCCCCTAGGGGATTAAATAGGGGATGAAAGTTTGTATGAAACTTTGTCAATTTAAACCGATCGGGCTGAGATTTTGCATGCATAAATCTACTATGACGTGGGCCTCCCCTAAGAAAGGATTTTGATAAATTCCACCCCTAAGTGGATAAAATAGGGGATGAAAGTTTGTATAAATCGAAGTAACTATACTACATTAACAGCGGAAAAATTACTCATTTCCACGGAAAAACTCAATAACGCGGACGAAGTCGCGGGCGAAAAGCTAGTTCTTTGATAAACATGATTACTTACCTCTCGAGGCCGGGTGACATAATTATAATTTAAGTATAAAATGTAATTTCGTGAAAGTAAGCAAACAACTTTTTTAAATAGGTCGAATCAATGAAAACAAAGTAGCATCTTATAATATTATAATTCTAATAATAAAATAAAATTCTAATAAAATATAATCAACCTTATTATTGAACATTATATGACGCAGGCTAAACATAAGTTAAAAATAAATTAAGGAAGCTTCATCGTCTTCCCTAATAATATACTCTTTTGAGTTTATAAAAGTCAGTTGCACTTTTTTTACTATACAGATTTCAGGTACAACATCATAATCAAGTTTTTTAGTGATGAATTTCAGAATTGGCTTGTTTACTGTTTTCAAAAATTTTATTTTATACATTATCACACTAGTATCCTCCTCAAGATTAATTTTTTCAATGAAACCTATATAATATTTCCACTTATTTTTAAGATAATATCTCACTATTACACTATCATCAATATTATAATATGGCATTTCTTTGGTTTCAATATTTTTGCCAGTTTTTGTAATCATTTTATTATTTTCTTCTACATCTGTGAAAAAGAAACAAGTGTGTTTAACACATAATTATCAGCAATTGGTGCTATCCGTCCATGTTTCAATAATTCTTATTACCTGCTGTAGAAAAATGGGTAAAGTTACAATCCTCATTTTTATTAGTGTTAGTCACAACAGTATTTTCGACCTTTTGTTCTGTAAACATAAATTGGTTTTATCATAATTATAGCATTATACAAACCAGAGAACTAATTCTCTAACTTTAAAATCTATCGCCATCGCTTTTGGTTTGAAAGATGTTGTATAACCATTGCTTGTTTCTGAAGACAGTTGAAAAAAAAGTATTTGTATTATGCAGCAATGGTTGTGCAACACCTTTCAAACTGAAAGCGATTGCAATAGATTTAAAATTAGACAATCAGGGGGCAGGTTCATTATAAATTTCATGGTTCCTCAATTGTTAATCAGTGCTGCAGTGCCATCTGCCTGAGATTTAACTAATTCAAATTACCTGCTGAAGAAGTGTCAGTAATCATAGTCATATCAAATTTTTCCTTTTCTACTTTTTCTGGTACAACATTATCTTTATTTTTATCAGTCACATTCTCATTAGCATTTTTGACCTCATCTGTGAATTTGATTTTATTATAATTTTTTCCGTTATAATCATATACTTTTACCTTTCATTAAACTAATTCTTATTACCTGTCGTAGAGATTCTGGTAAAGTCACAATTATCTTGCTTTTCCCCTATCACAGTGTCAGTGTATTTTTTGTTAACCTTATTATTTTCTTCCCCTGTAAACAAAAAATAGATACAATATAGGTGCCTACTTAATATTATTAATTTCATAATCAATATCCAGATCAATCAATTCCTAATCCACTCTACTAGTTTTCTATTCTATACCAAATGTCATCTCATCATCTGCACCAGAGGAGATAGTAAAGCAATACTTTTTCTTTCTTGTTTATTATATGATTTATTGATTATAAAATAAAATTTATATTAGTAATAATTTATTTACCCGTAGTATCAGATAATAGCTCGTCATAAAAATTGTCATCGGAAGAATCGTGCAAGGAGAACTGGTCGTCTTCATCAGTACTACTGTCATTGGAGTATCTTTTTACTATTTTTTTCCCTTGTATTTCGTTCACAGTACTTTGTTTAACATGCTTAATCCTTGTGCCTGAAGTCGAGGGCACAGGATTATCGTAATCTATGTTTTCTTTGCCGGAATTTGTCAGGACAAAGTCTTTCGTTATTTTCTTCATTCTTTTCAGTTTAAATGGTCTATAGTTTTGTAAATTGTCATAACCCATATTCTCTACCCTGTATCGAATATCCGATAGGACTGTCACTTTTGTCTTTTTTATCCCTTCATCTCTCTGTCTCGTGTCATCTTCAGTTGTCTTTCTTTTTAAGAAAGATGGACTTCTTTGGCTTTTATTTTCTTTGGTAAATGTCTTTACAAGGCAATGATTCTTCACTTCAAAGCATTCGCAATAGCCTCTTTGCGGAGCGTCACAAAAACAGCTCAGAAACCTGAACCGTATAACGTTAGTTTTATCAGTATTACATATTTGATGTAACATCATGGTCTGTGGAACGGGAACCAGATCTTCCTCTACCGAGTTTTTAGCAATATCATCCTCTCTGATGTAAAAAATCATTATCGCGGTGTCAGAATTTTTAATAAGTGTATAGGCCGTGTGAGCGTCTGGTATGTCGGTGCCATGTTTGACCAAGTCATCCAGTCTGCGTTTAAGTGCTCCTCCTACTCCGTCGGCAGCACCCTTATCATGGCCAGCTTCACTAAAGTTCCAGGTTGAATAGGGGAACCCCATACCTTTAACGTTGTTTGTAAACAAAAAGAAGTTCTTTTTTGTTTATACTGTGTCACTGGCCCGTCGGAAAAGAAATGCACCGCATTAACCAGCGGATATTGTGTGTTCACGTAGTTTAATATGGGTTTTAAATGACCCCAAATCGCCTCAGGAGTGTGGTCATTGCAGGCAGATACGGAACCAAATGACTGTGGTTTCTTTCCTTTTACGTACAGAACGCCAGTATGCAGTGTCACCTGCGGTTTCGACGCACCGAAGTGCATTGATTGTACTTCGGTTGATAGTTTGCACAAGTAATTTTCACTAAAGTCTATGTGTATAGCTACTTCGTTTGACTTTAAGTTCGTAATACACGAGAGATACTGCGCATATTGATGTTTTATGTTGAACACATGTTTTTTCATCATTTTCAGATCTTCATTAAAGGCAGAAGTCAGCGCTTTCAATTTATCATGAACTTCTTTTTTCACTACCTTCTTAGTAGTTGACATTTTACCATCATTTTTATTGATATATTCATGTTCCTGAGTAGCAAATTCGTCCCAAGTAACAATTTCATTCTTATCACAAGTGTCCTTGTTAAATTCTATACATTTATTGCAGCACGTCAAACATTCACCATAGGCACATGCCTTGGAATCTAAGTTACATACCACTATTGATAAGGTGTCATTTAAATTTGTAGTTTCAATCATTCCTAAGGACGTCAACTTCTTAATTTTCATAAGGATGTTTTCGTGCTTTACGCATGAACACGTTTCTCGATCAGAAAGTTTCGGTGGTATCACATAATATGGTCTGTACTTTTTGAAACACGTCAATTTAGCTCTTCCTCCCTCCGCTCTATACTTTTTATAAAGCTCTTTCAAAGTGTCCAGCAAGTATCGTCTTTGTTTTTTTATTTTACCTTGAGTTTTAAATTCTTTTTTCCCCGCTGTAGCTCGAGATACATCGTCTCTATTATAAAACTTAATAATTTCGTCTTCAATGCTATTGTTTTTCTTAATCATTTTCCTTTGACGAGCACTTCCTTTTAATCCCAGCACAGATCTCGTTATTACACTCTTCCTGACATATTTGGTCATACATTTATTTTTAACGATTCTTTTAAGAATATTTCGTTCACTATTTTTTTCGGTGTTCTCATATGTGTCTTGAATAGCATTCACTAAAACATTATATGTAAAAAGGTGTTTTTTTACTTTTTCTTTATCTTCTTCCACAATGTGAGGTAGGTTTTGTTCTACGTAACTGTTAGACTTGGACAAAGGAGTCATTTCGTTTTCATTTTGAATGATGTTGAGATGTTGTAAATTTGTTTTGTCTTCTTCTTGAGCAGCAATCTGTGTTTCACGTGGTTCAGTCGCTTTCGATTTTAATTCATCTACAAAACTAATCATATCTCTATTCTTCTGCATGTAACGCTTACACTTCCTTTTTAAACTTTGCATTTCTTTCTTCATCTTTTTTATATTTTCATCGTATAGTTTCCTTTGACTAACCAACCTTCTTTGTAATTTTCTAACCAAGGACATATTCCCGCAGTCTGTGTTAAGGGTAGCATAGTCACGATGTCAGGACGTAACAGAATCATCAGTTTTTTCTTTCTTCATTCTACAGCGTTGCTGAGTAGCTCTCCACTGTTTTCTTTTCAAATCTTGAAGTTTTTCAGAACACTCATTAATTTTCTTCCGTTTTTTATTTCGCTCTGCATTTTTTGTTTTAATCTCCTCGTACTTTGCAGGATTTTGAGTTCGCAACTTTTCACGATATTTCTTTTGCCTTTCGGCATTGGTCAGTGGCGCCATCTGAAATATAAAATCAAGAAAATTAAATTAAGTCGAAATTGAATTTCTTAAGTGTATTCTCCGCCTTACAATCGGTCATGACCGTACGTTACATTTATTACAATCATGACAGAAAAAAGCGCACGACATAACTTCAAATCAAAATATCACTGTACTGCAAATAAATACATACAGTGAAGTAGTTTCATTGCTTTATGTGATAACAAAGATTTAATAACTTTTATCAATAAATTAGGAAGAATGCCCAATACTTACCTTGCAATTCAACACAATAAAATTAATTTCAGGCGACAATTCTCACGTTGACACACTTTTTTGATTTTCACTCCAAACAAACATGGACGTTTTGTTTTCTGAATGTTGGCATCTTAATTAATGGTGTTGCCACTAAATAAAAGGCAAAAGCAACCAAATTATTATGTAGTGTGGCAAAAATATGCGTTATAATACCGTTATACTCATAACGTTACACACGCAAAAAAAAAATGGACGCATTTTCAAAGTTAAATAAGTTTATTATGGTTATTGATAAACTGATGATAACCTTTTAAACGCGTTAAATAAAGTATTCAGAACTTCAACTCAAATTACAAACGCAATAACGGACAAAATTTTAGTTAAAATTACCTGTTTTCGATCATTATGTTGTAGTTGGACAAACTGTCTTTGTATAGAGTAAAAGTAGTACTAATCGAAAAAAACCTAAAAAAAAAAAATAATTGCAGTGATAGCCAAGATTTCATGGTTTTATCTAAACTACGGCGAGTTTCTCTTTAGATCAGTTTGAAACGTATATTCGTGATTAAAACAGCACTGATTTTATGACAGAAATAATATCAGGTCAACAAAAAAAAAACTATAGATACAATTTTTTGCGACCGAACCCAGATACAAAATCTAGGGAGCATTTTACAATCTACTGTACAATTATTTTTAATATATTACGATTCACATATTATGAAGATTAACTGTCTTAGTCTGAAATGGATATTCGATTCCTGAAGTCCTGAATATAATTAATAAAATAGAGTCAAACAATATTAAGTTTTTAACAACAAAATATTACAGTTGGAACCGGGAGACCAGATCCTCGCCGTGAATGGAGAAGACGTAAGTAACGCGGCGCGGGAGCACGTGATATCAGCGGTACGGGCGTGCACCGATCGGGTCACTTTACGAGTATGCCAGCCGGCGAGGAGCGGCAACCCCATGAGGAGGTCCGCGCTCCTGTCTGCGGCGAAGAGAGCCAGGCTGAGGGCGAGACCTCCGAGGGTACGGTTCGCAGACTCGGTGCAGCTAAATGGAGCGCCCATGTATCCGGTGAGATGTGACTTTATTAATTATATATATAATATTGTAAAGAAACACTGGAAATTTAACAGCCTCATAATATTGGCTACATCAACATCAGCCAAATAGCAAGCAGAATGCTTCTTTATGGGTAAAATCAAATAGTGCACTGAGCAACTCTAGATAATACATTATTGGTGTTGCCTATCGTAGAACGAATGCGCTAATCAGTGAGCTATCACAATGTCTGTCTAAATAAAAACATCATGAGGAAGTCATGATTCTAGACTCTTGAAATTCTAGATTTACTTTTTGATCCCTATCCGATGATAGACGTCAGTAAGTTTTCGCGAAAGTGGCTTAGTTCAAGAAAATAATTTCTATTGATCCACATGGAAAATTTAATCCTGTGTGGATTTTCAAACGTTTATCCCAAACATCTCTTTTTAGTTGTTGACAGTTTTTCCAGTAACTGACTCAGTGTAGTGAAAATCACAAGGCAAAGATCACAATGTAGCAATAAAGCCTAGCTAGCTTTATTGCTACATTGTAATATGGGCGGTTTCATATTTATATCAAAGTCCAAATAAAAATTAATGAAGAAGTCCAAATAAAAGTTGCGATATTAATTCATAAAAATTTTAAACATTTCAGCCATCAGCTTTTTCTCTCGGCGACCTATGTCTCCCGCCAATGGCAAACGTCCTCAAAGTATTCCTGGAGAACGGTCAGACCAAGTCCTTTAAATACGACGCGACCACCACAGTGGCGGATGTGGTGTCCAATTTGAAGGACAAGCTATGCATCACCGCGATCGAACATTTCAGTCTAGTGGTCGAACACGTCAAGAGTTTGAGGAGAAACAAATTGACGCTTCTAGATCCAAAAGAATCATTGGCACGGGTAAGTGAAGCAAATATTAGTTTAGATCATTACAATTATTTGCTGTGTTACAAAATTACTCTATCACCTTGAAAACTCATTTATTATATACGAAACCGGGATAAATGGCACTGTATTTCTCTGTTGTAGTTTTGATTGCTACTTCGGTAAATGCTCATGTGTCTCGAAATTTTTTTTGGAAAAAGAAAATTATTGATATACTTAAATCCATCTCGCCATCTCCATTTCGTACATTATTTTCTAGAGGTTTAAGCAAATATTCTGCCTGACTAATTATACTGCACGGCACATAAATTGAACCAAAATGGCGATTGCATATTAGCATATTTTCGGATCTCAATAGTAGTGAGGTGTATAGTTCATAACTAGACCAGTGAGCTAATAGTCTAATTTTAAAACCTATCAATATCCTTTTCAAAGTTATAGCTATTTTTAGAATTATGTTTTCGGAACGAATTGTGATTTTAATTATCAAATAACATAATAGAAAAACTCAGCTAAACCCAACGAAAAATTGCAGTTAACATTCCACTCTTTCGTTTGATATTTCTTAGTGGCTTTCAAAGTAATATTTACGTCCAACGCTTGCCTTAGACAATTCAAATTAACATCAAATTAATTATATCATCCGGTCAATATATTTCTAAAATATCGGGGTCGGTATGTGATAGCGATATGGCATATCAAATTTTTGTAGCGTTAATATTTTTCAAATTTAAAATTGGATGGGATTATGCTAGATTTTAAAATTGCACAATTAGACCTCTGGAGTGCGACCGCCGCGGTATTTAGTTACATCTTATTATTTTCCCATGTACTTCAATAAAGAGATTTGCCTATGTATTAGTTATATTACAGCCCTATTACCTATGTCTTGTTTAGATCGCAGCCCGGCCGGGCTCGCACAAGATGCGGTGCCTGTTCCGCGTGGTATTCATGCCCTCGTCGGCGGCGGAGCTGGCGCAGCGCGACCTGGCGGCGCTGGAGTACCTGTACCTGCAGTGCTGCAACGACGTGGCGCAGGAGAGGTTCGCGCCCGAGCTGCAGCCCGACGTGGCGCTGCGCCTCGCCGCGCTGCACGTGCACCAGCACGCGCTCGCCAACAACCAAACGCCCGCCAAACTCACCGTCAAGGCTGTCGAGTGAGTACATCAACTACAACTCGTATATTTCATCAATATTACATTCACAATGTATAGTATTGTTAATGCCTATCATATATATATATATATAACCTATCATAGCGATATAAAGAAAATAAAGTTAAAACCATATTCAACCATCTGTTATAATCTGTTTACAAAAACTAAGGCGATCCCTTTGCCCTAGAAGAGAGTTCGGGCTAGAGCGTTTCGTGCCAAGCGGACTACTAGAAACTATGAAGAGGAAAGAACTGCGACGACTTCTAGCACATTTTCTAAAGCTCAACGCCCACATGACGGGCGGGCAGCGGCAGCTCACGCAACTTCAGGTAATAAATCTTACCCAGGATTCCGTATCTCAAAATGAACAAACATTAAGTCTTATAGAATCACTTTGAAGATAACGAATTGAAATTTCACCCAGAATTCTAAATTAATCTGAAAAAATAAACTGTCTTTTATTCTGCATAAAACACTTATTATACAGAATGTTTGTCTTTTTCTAAAATTGTTTGTTTTGAAGAATAAGAAACACGTGGAGACTTGATATATTAATTCATGGTTACTAATGCGATGACCAGAATAGCCAATAAAATTATGAAATATTTTGAAAATGGTAACTATGTCAAAGTATATATCATTTTAAATAAATTGTAAGTATATTTCATTCTTTTCTATAGTCAACAGATTATTAATCACAAGATAATTTTGCAAAAATCTTGCGATTTATAAAAATCTGTGGACTTTAGAAACATAGCATAGACGGCCATGACATAGCATCGCGTGACGTCACATTTCATTAAACTAAACGTGAACGTCTTTGTTGCGAGTGTTCTCATTATTAGTACCTACTCATGATTGTTGAAATGTAACTTAACGGCTCGAAATGTCACGTAACCGTTTTCGCCGGACAATTTAAATTAATTAATTAAAATGTGTTTTCCTAAAATGAAACAACTTTAGTTTCGTTTATATAAAATATAAGAAATCAATATATATTTTTTTCTTTATTTACCTAAAAGAGTTTTTTGGAGAAATATAATTCTGACAGTGGTTTAATATGATCTTGAAACTTGAAATACTTTTTCTAAACAGTCTAGTAGCTAATTGGGAGGTATTTAAAAAATAGTTCTCGAAATCAAACTAGATGCCGCTACGGTACGTTCTTGATTTCTCCATGACAACCCTTCCGGTTTTCTTTCATGTACAAAAGTAAATTAATTTTCAAAACCCTATAAACAACTCATATTCTATTTGTACTTTTTCGTATTTGTATTGATATCTAAGTTTCGAACTTTGCAAATTTCAGTTTTTTAATGTCTTACTTAAAAGAAACGGAAATAACTCTCTTAGGTCCATTCTTTTCCTTCAAAAATCAACTTTTCCTAGAGTCGCCATCTAGTGAGGTGCTTTTTAAGTGCTTCCTTTTTTTAAAGAGTTCCTCATTGTGGACATAAGATTGTCAAATAATCCAACAGTTTTTTGTTTATAACGTTGTTACAGGCTAAGTTACACTATTTAGATATAGTGGCTGGTCTGCCCAGCTACGGCGCCAAGTGCTTCAGCAGCAGTCGGCCGGAACGGGTGTTGCTCGTGTCACCGCGCTTCGGTCTCAGCCAGATCGTCGGGAGAAGTAACTCTGTGGTGAGACAAATCATATTTTTTGCGTAAGGACTGTGCTTTTTCTTGTAAAAAAATATTCTCAGTTAAATTATATAGTACAAAATTTGAAAGAAGAAATTTAAAAGTATAAATATAATATTTCATTGAATTTCTCAGATAAAAACAACTAAAATCTCGATCAGATGTGGTTAGAAATAGTATATTCGTGATGTTCAAATAATGGGTAAATTCAATAATTATTTTAAAAAATACTGATTTTCTTTATTATAATTTTCAATTTGAAATGAGCAAAATTGTTCATATTATTTTTTATATTATTTGTTTAATACTCCCAATGAAAAATGCTTAAAACATCCACTTTGTCCTGGAATTTTAAAGAATTTTTCATAAGAGTATTTTTTAGTATAGCACTGTGAATACAAAATTAATTAAATGTACAGTGGCGTAGCAAGGTAACCTAGGGCCCTGGGGCAAATAAAAACATGGGGCTCACTGCTATCAAAACTGGTAAGATTTTTTGAAGTAAAATCTTTTAATATAAAAGTACTTTAAAAATGCTAAGCAACTTTATCATCAGCTCTTTTTCGTGCATGGGCAGGTAATAAAACTATTAAACACTAACAACATAAATTACAATTAGATATTTTTATAGGTACTTACCCAATAACTAGGCTATAAAACGAAATAGAAAAGATTCAAGGGCTTATTATATACTAGCTTATGCTCGCGACTTCGTCCGCGTGGTAAAGTAACTCTGAGTAGCATTTCTAACAATATGTATTTATTATATTTATTCAATATATCGTGTAAAAAAACCTGAAATAATGTTTCATCTCCTATTTTATCTTCTTAGGGGTGGAATTTATCAAATCCTTTCTTAGGGGATGCCTACGTCATAGTAGCTTTATGCATACAAAGTCTCAGTCCGATCGGTTTAAAATTGACAGTTTCATCCCCTTTGTTATCCCCTTGGGGGTAGAATTGATCAAAATCCTTTCTTAGTGGATCCCTACGTCATAACATCTACCTGTATGCCAAATTTTAGCTCCGATCCGTCCAGTGGTTTGAGCTGTGCGTTGATAGATTACTATGTCAGTCAGTCACCTTGAGTTATATTATTCATAGATACGTTGCACCAGCTTACTGGTATTTAACCTATGGCCATGCAAGCTATTTACAAAAATTATCAATAGAAATATTTTGTCCAGAAGTACTTGCAGAAGGCTGACTAAAAAACTTGTCAATTTTGGACAACTTTTGTTTACTTCTTTCTTGGCGTTGTTTGCGTTTAAATGCACCACTGGGTTTCTTTTTTTTTTTTTTGTCCATAATATTAGTTTTCTAATTTATTTATGCAATATTTATGTAAGATTGTACACAAGTGGGTACCACTGTTCACTGACAACGTTACAAGTAAAAGGAAAGCGAAACGTAATTATACGATACAAGACGTCGTTGGGGAATCCCCGGCAAACATTTTATCGCCGCCAGTGTTACCACATTTAACGGTTTAAAAAATGACAAAAAACATCACGTAATTAAGCGACCCCCTACCGCATGTGACTTGTATTTTTCACGGTATTTTGAGTTATATAGTGAGTAGCCGAAATCTATAGACTTCGAAATCTATAGACGTAACTATGTATACGTACTATAATCAAATAAAATTGAACTTTTGTATAGACCAGTACAAAAAATTCATTCTCGAAATAAATCTTGACTCGAAGTTCACAATCGCGAATCACAAAAAGGCATATCGATAAATAATAATATGCTGATATTGATATCCGACAAATTGATGAAAACATTAATAACACTGTCAACCCACAGAAATAATTTAGGGGAATTCACTTTTTATAACTTTGGAATTTCTCACAACTGAGTTGCCAGGATTAAACTCAAGTTGTCACGTGTCATATTTATTTTAAAAATGGGAGAAATTTTCAAAAGTTGAGTTCGATTGAGGTTTTCTGGTAAAGATTCGAGGGCCCCTGAGCTTGAGGGCCCCGGGGCACTGCCCCGCCTAGCCCCTTAGTAGCTACGCCACTGTAAATATAATAATAATAAGCCTCTTTATTTCCATGACATTATAAAAAAATGAATAAATGCAAAAAAAGAGACAATATTTAAAACATTGTCATGGCTCCTTTCGGGTATAGGTCTCCTCCGTGTGCCTCCATCTGTCCTAGTCTTTCGCGACAACCATCCAGTCCCCTCCCACTAATTTTACTTTTTCCTCATTCCAACGAGCTCTAAGTCTGCTTTGCTGTCTTTTGTTTTTCATCACACCATCACCACCAGCCCTTTTACGTCCCCACTGCAGGGGCTCAGGCCTTCCTTATGAATGGTTAAGGAGGATGGGCCATGACCCTCCACGCTGGCCCAATGCGGATTGGAGAATATTAACGACTGCAAATGCAGCCGGGACCAACGGCTTAACGTGCCTTCCGAAGCACGGAGTAGCTCATAATAATAATTTTTGGTCACCCATCCCGTGACCGACCCTTGCGAAAGTTGCTTAACGACTACGATCGCGGGCCGCGGCGCTTACCACTACGCCACCGAGCTACTAGCTTTTGCTTTTGATCAAATATAATAATCTTAACAAATTTTCGTCTTTATCGAAAGTTAAAATATTTGTAAAAATACTTCTGTCGGCTGTTTGGGGGATTGCCTGAACATTAGCAAGTGCTTGAAAGATTCGTCAGTCCTGTTAGATTATGAGAAGCTCAGTGGTTAGAGCAGTCGCCTGCATTGCGAAAGGTCGTGGGATCGACTCTTATCTCAGATTGCCAGGGACAAAGTGGATATTTTAAGCATTTTTCATTGGGTGTATTGATTATTTGTGTTAATATTAGAATGTATTTGAAATAGAATTCATTAAAAAAGAAAAATTAAGCTAGAGCCCATGTTGACGTCTGCCACTGTAAGGAGAGTTTACGTGTGATTAAGTACATGTAAACACACAATTAAGTGATAAGTACCAAGAAAAATTTTGCTAACTACTTATTTGTTTAATTAGAATAAAATATTAACTTACTCTACTTACCTTTTATATACTTAATCACGTGTAAACAAACCATTAGAATAAAGCCACTACACCATTAAAGGGTCATCCTAGCGTAGACGACGGTTATTAGTCAGACTAACCTGTTTGCTTATGGTTGGTTCGGCAGCCTCAATCGATAGCATCGCTGGAGGAGGTGGAGGGAGTGAGGGTGCGGTCTGAGGGGGGCACGGGAGGCGCGGGCAGCGCGGACGTGGCCATATTCCTGCAGCGGGACCGCGTGCTGGCGCTGCTGATGGACGAGCGGGACGCCACCGAGATGCCGCTGGTCATTGCTGGGTGAGTACGTAGCTGTGCATCTATAGCAGGGTATAAGGGTACTCTTATACTCACTCATGAGTCAGGACCTGAAATAATAAAAAAGTGATAGTATAAGGTCATATTTTGACACTATCACAAGGCTGTCATTTTACTTAAAATAAAGCGTTTCCTTTAATTACATTGAGTTAAACTTCATTTTGTTCACTGTCAATTTAAGAAATTAATTTTTTTCTAACATTTGGATTTGAAGCTCGCAAAATCCTCTTAAATTGAATAATAATAAATATATGGTACTATAAACGGCGAGATTAAGAAAGGAGAGATTTTTGAATGAAGACTGAGCGAGAAATATTTATAGGAAAAACAAGTAAAGCCAAACCCAGATTTAAAAAAAGGGAGAGAGGTTATTAATGAAAACAAAGAAAGTTAGAGAGGTTACAATGATTAAACTTTTTTCCAGATACTACCGGTTGGCGACCGGCAAGGAACTAAATGTGGAGCTAGAGAGAGAGCCGGTCACCGAAGATATAGGTAATGTTTTCTCTAAAATGACTACATTAGGTATTTTAAAATAATCACTAGAAATTCTTAACCACATACTCCAAACTATTCGCTCCTTGCATTTAATTATTGTTGTCTGAAAAAAAAGTACTATACTATTAAAGTTTAAAATAAAAATTTGTTTTATGTTATTCCAGCGCCACCATATTTATCTCAACACAACGTAGTGCCAGCGAAATGGAGCTATTTACACTATCACGACCAAAACGTGCTATCTAAAAAACACTTCGCCATCTTTAGTATGCCGCCTCCCTACCACTCAACACCGGACAAGTCTGACTTGGACTCAAACATGAATACCACTATCACCAACAGAAATAGCAGTGCCAACTCCAGTCCGCTCATTGGTTACGACTCAAAATCTGGTCTACTCGGTCACGACCTCCATTTTGACAAATGTAAAAGAGCCGAAGAATTCAGACTATTTGACGCCAATGATTCCTGTTATTTAGACGACGGTATGGGTTTCGATCTTCAAAGCGTTCTATCCATGGAACTCTTAGAGAATGCAACAAATAACCCTAAACTAGTTGAGGCTAAAAACGAAGAAGTTTTGAGGAGAGTTGCGGAAATGCAAAAACTAGTAGAAAACTCGGAACAATATTTGACTGAAAATTGTGATGTTTATAATGATGACATATATAATGATGGAATTTTAAGAGACGAACTAGTAGGTAAAGAAACGAGTGTAGATAATATAGAAAGTGATACGGAATCCAATAATAGTAAGATGTCGGCCGCTGACGACGCTCCTGGTATTTTGAAACATAGTGACTCTTTATTACTTTTAACTGAAACTATTAATCAAGGCTTAAGTGTTTTGACTGTACCGGAAACTGAGAAAGACAATAACAGTGCTAGTTTAACTACAAGACAATCTCAAGGTCTCAGTGCTATTTTAAATAATTGTGGTCTAACCGACGCTTTATTAGCTTTAAACAGTGATCTCTGTCATTCCGAAAGTGATAATGATTCCCTTTATACACCAACCAGTAGTCCCATTAGAAAACATCAGAATAAACCCACTCCTAATAAAATTGTTAGAACTAGTTTCGGGTTGCATAGCCCAGATACAATACAAGACAATAAAGAACCAAATCTCAAGGAGTATTTAAAACAACTAAAAGAGAAAAGCAGTCAGGAAGATACTAGAACAGCTGAAGTTCCGTTCTTCTATCAAGAGGGTATGGTCGACAATGACGCGGAACTTATAGACTTAACACTTATTCCACCACCTCAAACTCCCGACGAACTAGATTGTGCTACTCAAGTGCCTCAAATTTTGCCAGTTGTACCACCCTCTTTTGCTGATGAAAAAGAAAATGTACAAACACCGAAAACGAATGAACTTGAGGAATTTATAGCTAATGTTACAATACAACCACCAACTGTGAAAGTTACACCTGCAATCGAGTTGACTCCAGAAGAGATATTATCTTATATCATTCCCCCTCCACCTGGATCAAATTCGTCAACTTTAGATAGAGATCAAGTTAGATATGTGAATCATACACAATTACTTGAAGCGAAAAATGCTCAAAATATTAATTGCGATGTAAAACAAAGCAACGGAGAAGTAGTTAAAGGCACGCTGAGTGTCAGTGAGATTAGAAATATGTTCACCGCCAAGAGTTTAAGTGATGCTAGAAATAGTCTTTTACTAAAAGATAAGAATAAAACGCAAACACAAAATAAATCTGATTCACCAAAAGGTAAACGAAAAAGCTTGTCAGGGGATAGACAGTCTAATGGAACAACTCATGTAATAGAATATCCAACCGTTGAAAGAAAAGGTATGTTCTCATGTTGCAGTAAAGATAAAAATAAAAGCGATGACAGTTGTGACGAATCAGAGAAAGCTGAAACTCTCAAAGAAAATTCTGATTCGATGCCCGATGTATGCGAAATAAGGCCACCACCTAGAAGAAAAAGTTCGGAAATACGTAAACCTCCAGAGAGACCACCGAAAACCCCACCTGCACCCGCTCCCAGGCCGCGGTCTAACTCATTCACTTGTCTGAATAACGAATTGACTGCGGTCGAAATACCTAATAGCCATTTTAGCACTTTGAATAATAGGAAACTAAACTACAAAGTCGTTTGCGAAATAAACGAGCAGGCAACGCGGGGCCCGCCTCAACTGCCGCCGAGATTAGAAAATAAACCTCTCGCTCCCCCACCGCCTCTATTACTGCCTCCGAAAAAGCCACCTTTACCTCCGGTTCCTAGTGTGGAAGTCCTGCGAATGAAGAATGCACAGAAACAGTCTCCTTTAAGAAATGCAGAACAGAGACTAGCCAGTATCGGCTCCCCGCACTTTCAGCGGAATTTAAACACGTATAGGAACCTTGAAAACGAACACAGAATTACAGACGAGGAGTCGACAAACATCAGATCCTCACAGAATTACAGTTCGATGACGTTGCAGACTCGACACGTGCGGTCACATTCGGAAACGAAGAACACTATTTTGAAAAACAAAGAAATGACAGCCTTATCTTTGTGTTCACCTCAAATGAACAGGAGATTCAGTAATCGTCCTGATCTTTTGAACGGGGCACCGACAAATGATAAAGTGTTCAGTCCGCCGTTGTCCGAACGGAAAGCGTTCCGCGTAGAGAACTCCAGTCCGACGCCTAAAGTCCAGAATCACGTTCGATTTAAAGATGACGTCGTAGATGATATCCCGACGCCTCCTTCGCCGCCTACTGTGAAATTTCCTGAGTTTTCAGCGGGGAACAACGGGCACGTGTCAGTGGAGAGTTTGCTTTGTAAAACGGAGGTGGCAGTGGAGGGATTACTGCAGCGACTTCACGGCGCCGCACAGAAATGTTCGCACCAACACGCTCACGGCGGGGGAGAGGACATCGACGAGATTAAGTTCCAGGTGAGATTTATTGTATTGCTACTTGCTTCAGTTCATTTTCACCGATGTGTCAATTATTTTAAATATTCCCATGATGTAACGTGTAATATTGACATAACATAACAAGTTGATAGCTTTTGCGGAAAATGTGTAGTAAAAAATTTGACTCCATTCTTAGACATTTTATTCATTTATTACAAGTAATATAAATAGAAGCGAAATGTGGTCAATCAACCAGTCTCAATTATAATATGTAATCGTTTGTGTATCAGCGCGCTCGAACCGAGTTGACCTCATGCGCAGTATCGCTGGTGGGCACGTCCCGCACGCTGGTGGGGGCGCTGGGCACGGCGGGCGCGGGGGCGGGGGCGGGAGCTGCGCTTGCGGACTGTCTCGCCCCGTTGCGACGACTCACAGATCTTGCTCAGGTATTTTGCCCTGCATAGTCATTCTTCTAACATGATTTATGATCACTAGTTTCCAGCATTTTTTACTTTTTGCAAATGTCGCCGGTGGTTTCTCGATCATAATTCATAAGCCTACTCGTACATTGATTCGATCTTAAACTATCTATTTAGCTAAATGATTTTTGTTACATATGAAAGTCAGAACGGTGAAGGCATACATGCCACAGTATATACGGTACACGAACCCGAGAAAATTTTAATAAGTTTTGGTTTTCTGTGTAGATTCTAGTAGAGAATCTAATTCATAGACAGTAAAGCGTGAAAATAAGGTAGTAGTAAGGTAGTGGTTTGAAACTAAGGTAGTGGTTTGAAAGTAAGGTAGTGGTTTTAAAAACTCGATATAAAAACATTACTGAGAAGGTAGTTCTGTCTACTTGCTTGTTAGTCTCATATCACCGTGTACAATCGTAAAACTGCGACTTCTTCTAGTCTGTAAATTTTTACTAATAAAATCTTCAGGATCACAGGAAAGAACCATCCTGATTTCGCACCAAGAATAAAATAATGTTCATATACACAGCTGTCCATACAAACATGCATCATCCATATAAACAGCTTCACCATAAATGTTAACTTTTAAAATTTCAACACCTAAACCACATTTATTTCTTAATAACTATAAATTACTATATTTAGCAACTTCCACATACATTTAGAAACCGCGCACCTGCGTCTCTATATCTCGCCAAAATTAAGAAACTTTCTGTATACTTTTTATTTGTGTGTGACCACTAAAGAGTTCATCTATCTATCTATCTGTTTATCAACGCAAAAAATAGTAGAATTTTTGGTTAATGTTATTATAACGTAAAACATCTCACAACCTCCACCAAAATCTGACTCTAGTGATTCACATCTCCACGGATCGTCCTTTAAAGCTTTGAAACAATCTTGCAGCTTGCTAAATATAGTATTACGGTTATTAATCAAGGTATCAACATATGATTTCATCATCACCAGCCCATTTACGTCCCCACTGCAGGGGCTCAGGCCTTCCTCATGGATGGTTAAGGAGGATGGGCCATGACCCTCCACGCTGGCCCAATGCGGATTGGAGGGTATGATTTCATACAATCTTAATATTTTTTCTACTCAACTTTCAGGCCCTCGTCAAACACACATCTGCGCCTCTACAAACAAGAAACCTAGTGTTACGTGTTCACGATGTTACTGCAGCTTTCAAAGAACTGGCCGGTGCTGAAATGGCGCAGATTATACATGAACACAACTCCAAGAAAGTTCAGGACCAAAGCCAAGAAAACTCCACTCTAGAAGGTCAACTCGCGTTGAGAGCTGAATGTCTAGCTAACGTGCTAGCAACATTACTAAGAAGCCTTCGAGTGTTTTCGCCTTAAAAATAACAGACTCAAGGCAAGCTATACACGGCTAACAGAATACATATCTACGGGCTTATGTCGCCTGAGTATACAACCTATTTTCACGCAACAAATCGAGCTATGCAACCGCAAAGTAGTGTTAAAATATATAAAGTACATAATTATTAAATACTTATCATTTTATTATTAAGGATTTCTGTTGAAATGTAACCGTTACTAAAATGAGACCAAATAAAATTAGGTACGTTTTTATAATTGTAGTTGGCAACACCTTGTGTTATAATTTAGTTATAGTTATGTAAATTTTAACATGCGTTAAGTGTTAATCTGTTGTTAGATGACTATTATTTCGTGACCTTATTTAGAAGTTTAGAAAATCTCGATATCAACTGTAGACATATGTTTTAAAGTTTCCATTATCGAAGTTATCTGTCTATTAAGTAAAACTTAATTTCTAAGTAAATTTTTTCACTTACAATTCCGCAATGTTACCATAGTGATTAATTTTGCAAACATAATCTATTTACATAATGGATGTATATTTCCTAATTTAAGTACGTGTGATCGAATATAGGGTGCGACTTCTTTATTAAAAGTAAATACAAGCTCGTCATATCTAAATGTCTAACTAACCATATCGTTTTGTCGTTGCAATTTATTTTTAGTCTGTGACATTGTATTGCGCGCTATAACAATGTTCGGTGTTGCTAGTTGTGAAATGTATTTTTCTTCTGAGACAAGGGATTCCTCACTCAATCGCAAACAAATCGGGTTCTTAATGATTTTAGTTCTTAAGGTTCTCATTGGTATTTTACTTCCTTGACCAAATAATATGTGTTACGAACTTAAAATATTTTTTTATGGCAAATACTTGTGATGACAATCCGTGTCTCAGATTGAATTGTATTAACCAGCAATCTCGTTTTTATGTATGTACACAACGCGATGTGCTGATATTATAATATTGGTGCTATTTTTGAGGAAATTGTGTACGTTTTTGTATAAATCGTCGATTGGTTAGCTCTCATAATAATTTGCAATAATAAAACGTATCAACCAACGTTTGCACCAGCGATTTGAACTAGATACTATTTAAGTAAGCATAGGATTGTGTCTACAATGCAATAATCTTCAAATATTCCACTAATTACCACGCCTGATGAGTACATTTTTTTTTTATATTTGCTCATGTTCCAAAGCTACAGGAACCAAAGACAAGAGTTCTTTTCTTTCTATTTTTATTTTTTTTTCTACAGAATATAGTCAAAAATTGAATATTTATATGCTTTACTGTTTGTAATAATAAAAAGTTTATGTATGTAGTACAGAAATATTTTTATATTTTCTATATGATACATGTTTTTTTATTTATTTATTTAATATGTAACAATAATTGTCAGGCTTACTCTTGCTCAAATTGAGAGCAATAATTCCAAATCTGACCAATTTCAATTCAAGTTAAATTATATTGTTGGCTGAAGACATCTTTACAAAAACTATGATGTGGAGCTCAACATCACAGTGGCAAACACGTCCGTTCTGTAATGTAAAATTTAAGTAACTTTCACAAAGGCCGGTCATAGAATGGGTGACCATAAATATAGTATCTCGGGTTACATACCTCTATGATAAAATTTTACAATAACTTTTAAATATTAATTTAAAAAAGATGTCTACTTATTTAAAGAAAGAATAATTAATTCTCCCATTTCTATCAAAATTATTGATATAGTACCTAGTACTGCAAATGGTGGGTAATTTTTTTAAATTCAATTATGTTCAAGAGTAAGCCTACCAATGTCTTTTACCTTTATTTCAACAAGTACCTTCTACATAGTATCGTATGTGACAGTGACTTTAATAAATAAATAGTTAAAATGTTGTTATATATACAAAATAATATTGTATCACACCAATTTATTTATTGTTTAAAATAACATAAAGCAATGCATTTGATGTAATAAACGATAATATCAACCGAACAATTCGTTCTCATTAAAAACTTACAACTAAATGTTAGAAAGAGAAAAGATTTGTTTATTCATTGAATGAAGTCTGGAATGACTTTAAAAATTCTCTCACCTACGGAAAACTACAGTATACGCGGTAATATAGGCTATATTTTAAGACTGCGAAGTCGCAGAACAGCTACCTTATATTAGAGTGGTAAAAAATCCTTAAAAGTTTCTTCTGACAACTTCCTTAGACAGACTACTTGCCCTATCTGCACACCAATCTCGGTTTCTAACTATTCAGACGCTCGATCGAGATAAAATCACCTCGGGATTAAATCTAATTTGTTGGGACAAAAATTACAAATGTTTGGTTTTAATTCTAAATATTTTGATCTCCCAAATGTTAGGAACTTATTTATTAATTATTACTTTTTAATTTTTTTAATAAATAGGTTGACATAAATCAAAACTTCATTTCATTAAAAAAATTTACTCGTTCAAAATTGTTATATTTACAATTGATTTAATAGCATTTATTATATTTGTTTACTTAAACTGCGCGAGTTAAGTAATTAACGCTTAGTTATCTTCAAGGGATATTAATAATTTATTCTACACTTACGAGGGAAGTTCTTTTCTAAGGTTTCATACCAAATGGCAAAAAGCGGATCCTACTACTAGGACTCCGCTGACCGTCGGTCTGTCACCAAACTGCATCTTATGAGCCGTGATAGTAGTCAGTTGAAATTTTAACAGATGACGTATTTCTATTGCCCCTATAACAACAAAACAAAATATTTAACTGGGCCAACCGATTGTACCCACTGGCACACTGGCCTGCTATGCTGGGGTCTTATACTAACATTAATTAAAAATCTGCCAGCGATACACCTCTATATCATCATCATTAGTTTGTCAACATCCCACTGCTGGGTTTTTTTTATTGTTTTAACGGCACTGGGTTCTGCTGGGTCACTCATAGGCCTGCCTATCTGCAATAGATGGAATAGATATCTACCGGTGTTTATGTGGATAACACGCAGGTCTATATAGAATAGTCCAGTTGATATTTTATCCATTTTAGGGCGCAGTAGAATCGACATGCCTTGCAAAAAATACAAACAAATGATTTATTTGATATTGTATAATAATCCTTTTATTGAAGTCGTTTAGTAACTACGCCGTCATTGTGCTTGGATCTAGATATTCAACTACTGTGCTTATTCTGGACTTTCAGATAAGGGCTTATGCAAGATTCTACGACTGATCCTCATAGTAACTTACTAACTAGTTCTTGCCTTCTCAATGCAGCATTTTCAGAGATTTTAGTGCGTGACGCCATATTGAATTTCTCTAACGGAAATTCTGCCATCTCTTCAATTTATGTCAACTTATAAAGCCGACTTAAACGTGATAGTTTTCTTTTTAACTTCGTTATTATAAACACTACTGCCGACACGTTTGAATTTCTTATACAAACGTTTAGTCAGTAGAGTAGTATTTGGCTCTAACGAGAATTGGCACTTTGAAGCTTAATTAGTCATGAACGGTTAACTAAATCAAAAAACGGTCATCCCACACCCCGAATATTTTTGAAAGACCTATCCGGCAATATCTTACGCTATGGGAAGATAAAAAAATGTTTCATCCCCCACTTTACATGTAGGGGAGGTAGGAGGGAAAAGCCTTTTTAAGATTATTATTTTTATTTTATTACACCTACTACATTGTCGGCGTAAACGTAATAATTTACGTTATATAATATAAATCGTTTTTGAACTAACGCGCAGACGGACGGACAGACATTGCGAAACTATAAAAGTTCCTTGTTAACTAAAAACTATAAAATTGAAAATAAAAGCGCCTTTTCTTGATAAAAGACAACAAATATTTCAAAAATCTAAATCCGTTTTTAAAAGGACAGTGGCGTCATCTAGCAAGAACAGCTAAACGTAAAATTTTATTTGTCGCTCTATTATTAATTCGCCATCAAATTATAATAATGGTAAAACCACAAACAGAATACGAAAGCTACTTTTTTGATAAATATCGGAAAAAATTAAAACTACAAACATAAAAAAGCCGTTTTAAAAATACAGTAGCGTCATCTAGTGATTAGTAGCGTCAGTTAAATGTAACATTTTACTGTTTTGACCTATTAATAACTACCCATTAAATTATGTTATTGGAAACACTGCAAAATTGAAAACGAAATCTACTTTGTTTGATAAAAATCGGAAAAATTAAGACTACAAACAGTTACAGTCAATGACAGCGTCATCTCTTGATCGGTAGCGTCAGTTAAATGTAACATTTTCGTGTAAGTAAACCAACAATAATTTTGCATTGAATATTAGCGACAACGGTTCTTTCCGTATGAATAATTAAAAAATACATATATTTACAAAGAAAAATCGAACTGTAAACAATAGTTACTATGGTTACAATGCCCTATATGAACTTCCACTCTCATTTTCATCCCTTTATGTGTTATTTTTCGGGATAAGATAAAAGGCAGTCATAACCTGTCGCGGACTTTTTAGAACTTTTAAAGGGGTTCAATGAGGAAGTATTTAAAAAAAACGAAAGCACTAAAAAGGCACCTCCACTAGATGGCGACTCTAGCAATAGTTGATTTTTGCAAGAAACGAATGGCCAGTCATTTCCGTTCCTTTTAACTAACAATTAAAAAAACTGAAATTTGCAAAGTTCGAAACTTAGATATCAATACAAATACGAAAAAGTACAAATAGAATATGAGCTCTTTATTGAGTTTTCAAAACTAATTTACTTTTAAACATGAAAAAAAACCGGATAGATTGTCATGGAGAAATCAAGAACGTACCGTAGCGACATCTAGTTTGATTTCGGGAACTAATTCTTTTTTTAAATACTTCCTCATTCAATTTCGTAATACGTCCGTATTTTGCGTATCTTTCACCGTTTACGCAGCGCACGCAAGGAAAGCTCTCGAAAAATAAAATATTCACCGTTTCTGCTGTTCCACTCCTGGTCGTTAAAGCGTGATACTCGTATTATATAGCCTGTAGAATTTCTTCCTCGAATTCGAACTTTTTAACACAAAAATATCTCAAATCGAACTTAGATTTAGATTATAGAGATCAACCAAAACAAACAAACTCTTCTCCTTTATTAGTATAGATGATACACTGGAGACGGGACCTGATACTGCCTCTGATGCACAGATAATCTACACAGATATGATTTGAACAGAATTATGAGAACGATTTAGAATTTTCGTTCGAGGACAAATAGAATAGTCCCTCAGGTGTCATGTTAACTTATACGATTTGTACAATCATAGTGACAGTTGGAGTAGCTCCATGGAGTAATAGATAATCACTATCGTCCGAGATAGTAGTTGTTAAGCAACTTTCGCAATGGTCAGTCACGGGATGGGTGACCAAAAATTATTATCTCCGTGCTTCAGACGTTAAGCCGTTGACGTGAAGGCACGTGAAGCCATCCAATCCGCATTGGAGGGTATTAACGCATGGATGGCGTTGTCCATCCTCTTTAACCACCCACAAGGCCTAAGCCCCTCCTGTGGGGACGTAAATGGGATGATGATGATGATGAGTAACGGTTTACGGGTAATTACCCAATTATAAAAACACCATCCACTCTGTGAGCGCGTTTACGTATCGTTTTCTCTTTTGTCTTTATGTTCAGCTTTAAACTATGTCCTAAAGTAGCTCTCGTGATTTTCACACGATGCCTATAAGACCGGTCGTCACATAAATAAACGTTAGATTGCAAGTCAAATATAAACGAGGCATTGTGGTTCCGCAGGTGGTGCCTGTATACGTCATACGTATTGTCCTCATTGCTAGGGTACAGGCTTTCCCTATGGTTGTAAAAGAATAAAGAGAATGGTCCCACCAAGTAGGCCCAGTATGCACTTACTCATACTGGGCCTACTTGGTGGGACCATTCTCTTTATTCTTTTACAACCATAGGGAAAGCCTGTACGGTCACATTCGGAAACGAAGAACACTATTTTGAAAAACAAAGAAATGACAGCCTTATCTTTGTGTTCACCTCAAATGAACAGGAGATTCAGTAATCGTCCTGATCTTTTGAACGGGGCACCGACAAATGATAAAGTGTTCAGTCCGCCGTTGTCCGAACGGAAAGCGTTCCGCGTAGAGAACTCCAGTCCGACGCCTAAAGTCCAGAATCACGTTCGATTTAAAGATGACGTCGTAGATGATATCCCGACGCCTCCTTCGCCGCCTACTGTGAAATTTCCTGAGTTTTCAGCGGGGAACAACGGGCACGTGTCAGTGGAGAGTTTGCTTTGTAAAACGGAGGTGGCAGTGGAGGGATTACTGCAGCGACTTCACGGCGCCGCACAGAAATGTTCGCACCAACACGCTCACGGCGGGGGAGAGGACATCGACGAGATTAAGTTCCAGGTGAGATTTATTGTATTGCTACTTGCTTCAGTTCATTTTCACCGATGTGTCAATTATTTTAAATATTCCCATGATGTAACGTGTAATATTGACATAACATAACAAGTTGATAGCTTTTGCGGAAAATGTGTAGTAAAAAATTTGACTCCATTCTTAGACATTTTATTCATTTATTACAAGTAATATAAATAGAAGCGAAATGTGGTCAATCAACCAGTCTCAATTATAATATGTAATCGTTTGTGTATCAGCGCGCTCGAACCGAGTTGACCTCATGCGCAGTATCGCTGGTGGGCACGTCCCGCACGCTGGTGGGGGCGCTGGGCACGGCGGGCGCGGGGGCGGGGGCGGGAGCTGCGCTTGCGGACTGTCTCGCCCCGTTGCGACGACTCACAGATCTTGCTCAGGTATTTTGCCCTGCATAGTCATTCTTCTAACATGATTTATGATCACTAGTTTCCAGCATTTTTTACTTTTTGCAAATGTCGCCGGTGGTTTCTCGATCATAATTCATAAGCCTACTCGTACATTGATTCGATCTTAAACTATCTATTTAGCTAAATGATTTTTGTTACATATGAAAGTCAGAACGGTGAAGGCATACATGCCACAGTATATACGGTACACGAACCCGAGAAAATTTTAATAAGTTTTGGTTTTCTGTGTAGATTCTAGTAGAGAATCTAATTCATAGACAGTAAAGCGTGAAAATAAGGTAGTAGTAAGGTAGTGGTTTGAAACTAAGGTAGTGGTTTGAAAGTAAGGTAGTGGTTTTAAAAACTCGATATAAAAACATTACTGAGAAGGTAGTTCTGTCTACTTGCTTGTTAGTCTCATATCACCGTGTACAATCGTAAAACTGCGACTTCTTCTAGTCTGTAAATTTTTACTAATAAAATCTTCAGGATCACAGGAAAGAACCATCCTGATTTCGCACCAAGAATAAAATAATGTTCATATACACAGCTGTCCATACAAACATGCATCATCCATATAAACAGCTTCACCATAAATGTTAACTTTTAAAATTTCAACACCTAAACCACATTTATTTCTTAATAACTATAAATTACTATATTTAGCAACTTCCACATACATTTAGAAACCGCGCACCTGCGTCTCTATATCTCGCCAAAATTAAGAAACTTTCTGTATACTTTTTATTTGTGTGTGACCACTAAAGAGTTCATCTATCTATCTATCTGTTTATCAACGCAAAAAATAGTAGAATTTTTGGTTAATGTTATTATAACGTAAAACATCTCACAACCTCCACCAAAATCTGACTCTAGTGATTCACATCTCCACGGATCGTCCTTTAAAGCTTTGAAACAATCTTGCAGCTTGCTAAATATAGTATTACGGTTATTAATCAAGGTATCAACATATGATTTCATCATCACCAGCCCATTTACGTCCCCACTGCAGGGGCTCAGGCCTTCCTCATGGATGGTTAAGGAGGATGGGCCATGACCCTCCACGCTGGCCCAATGCGGATTGGAGGGTATGATTTCATACAATCTTAATATTTTTTCTACTCAACTTTCAGGCCCTCGTCAAACACACATCTGCGCCTCTACAAACAAGAAACCTAGTGTTACGTGTTCACGATGTTACTGCAGCTTTCAAAGAACTGGCCGGTGCTGAAATGGCGCAGATTATACATGAACACAACTCCAAGAAAGTTCAGGACCAAAGCCAAGAAAACTCCACTCTAGAAGGTCAACTCGCGTTGAGAGCTGAATGTCTAGCTAACGTGCTAGCAACATTACTAAGAAGCCTTCGAGTGTTTTCGCCTTAAAAATAACAGACTCAAGGCAAGCTATACACGGCTAACAGAATACATATCTACGGGCTTATGTCGCCTGAGTATACAACCTATTTTCACGCAACAAATCGAGCTATGCAACCGCAAAGTAGTGTTAAAATATATAAAGTACATAATTATTAAATACTTATCATTTTATTATTAAGGATTTCTGTTGAAATGTAACCGTTACTAAAATGAGACCAAATAAAATTAGGTACGTTTTTATAATTGTAGTTGGCAACACCTTGTGTTATAATTTAGTTATAGTTATGTAAATTTTAACATGCGTTAAGTGTTAATCTGTTGTTAGATGACTATTATTTCGTGACCTTATTTAGAAGTTTAGAAAATCTCGATATCAACTGTAGACATATGTTTTAAAGTTTCCATTATCGAAGTTATCTGTCTATTAAGTAAAACTTAATTTCTAAGTAAATTTTTTCACTTACAATTCCGCAATGTTACCATAGTGATTAATTTTGCAAACATAATCTATTTACATAATGGATGTATATTTCCTAATTTAAGTACGTGTGATCGAATATAGGGTGCGACTTCTTTATTAAAAGTAAATACAAGCTCGTCATATCTAAATGTCTAACTAACCATATCGTTTTGTCGTTGCAATTTATTTTTAGTCTGTGACATTGTATTGCGCGCTATAACAATGTTCGGTGTTGCTAGTTGTGAAATGTATTTTTCTTCTGAGACAAGGGATTCCTCACTCAATCGCAAACAAATCGGGTTCTTAATGATTTTAGTTCTTAAGGTTCTCATTGGTATTTTACTTCCTTGACCAAATAATATGTGTTACGAACTTAAAATATTTTTTTATGGCAAATACTTGTGATGACAATCCGTGTCTCAGATTGAATTGTAATTGTATTGTACCTAGTACTGCAAATGGTGGGTAATTTTTTTAAATTCAATTATGTTCAAGAGTAAGCCTACCAATGTCTTTTACCTTTATTTCAACAAGTACCTTCTACATAGTATCGTATGTGACAGTGACTTTAATAAATAAATAGTTAAAATGTTGTTATATATACAAAATAATATTGTATCACACCAATTTATTTATTGTTTAAAATAACATAAAGCAATGCATTTGATGTAATAAACGATAATATCAACCGAACAATTCGTTCTCATTAAAAACTTACAACTAAATGTTAGAAAGAGAAAAGATTTGTTTATTCATTGAATGAAGTCTGGAATGACTTTAAAAATTCTCTCACCTACGGAAAACTACAGTATACGCGGTAATATAGGCTATATTTTAAGACTGCGAAGTCGCAGAACAGCTACCTTATATTAGAGTGGTAAAAAATCCTTAAAAGTTTCTTCTGACAACTTCCTTAGACAGACTACTTGCCCTATCTGCACACCAATCTCGGTTTCTAACTATTCAGACGCTCGATCGAGATAAAATCACCTCGGGATTAAATCTAATTTGTTGGGACAAAAATTACAAATGTTTGGTTTTAATTCTAAATATTTTGATCTCCCAAATGTTAGGAACTTATTTATTAATTATTACTTTTTAATTTTTTTAATAAATAGGTTGACATAAATCAAAACTTCATTTCATTAAAAAAATTTACTCGTTCAAAATTGTTATATTTACAATTGATTTAATAGCATTTATTATATTTGTTTACTTAAACTGCGCGAGTTAAGTAATTAACGCTTAGTTATCTTCAAGGGATATTAATAATTTATTCTACACTTACGAGGGAAGTTCTTTTCTAAGGTTTCATACCAAATGGCAAAAAGCGGATCCTACTACTAGGACTCCGCTGACCGTCGGTCTGTCACCAAACTGCATCTTATGAGCCGTGATAGTAGTCAGTTGAAATTTTAACAGATGACGTATTTCTATTGCCCCTATAACAACAAAACAAAATATTTAACTGGGCCAACCGATTGTACCCACTGGCACACTGGCCTGCTATGCTGGGGTCTTATACTAACATTAATTAAAAATCTGCCAGCGATACACCTCTATATCATCATCATTAGTTTGTCAACATCCCACTGCTGGGTTTTTTTTATTGTTTTAACGGCACTGGGTTCTGCTGGGTCACTCATAGGCCTGCCTATCTGCAATAGATGGAATAGATATCTACCGGTGTTTATGTGGATAACACGCAGGTCTATATAGAATAGTCCAGTTGATATTTTATCCATTTTAGGGCGCAGTAGAATCGACATGCCTTGCAAAAAATACAAACAAATGATTTATTTGATATTGTATAATAATCCTTTTATTGAAGTCGTTTAGTAACTACGCCGTCATTGTGCTTGGATCTAGATATTCAACTACTGTGCTTATTCTGGACTTTCAGATAAGGGCTTATGCAAGATTCTACGACTGATCCTCATAGTAACTTACTAACTAGTTCTTGCCTTCTCAATGCAGCATTTTCAGAGATTTTAGTGCGTGACGCCATATTGAATTTCTCTAACGGAAATTCTGCCATCTCTTCAATTTATGTCAACTTATAAAGCCGACTTAAACGTGATAGTTTTCTTTTTAACTTCGTTATTATAAACACTACTGCCGACACGTTTGAATTTCTTATACAAACGTTTAGTCAGTAGAGTAGTATTTGGCTCTAACGAGAATTGGCACTTTGAAGCTTAATTAGTCATGAACGGTTAACTAAATCAAAAAACGGTCATCCCACACCCCGAATATTTTTGAAAGACCTATCCGGCAATATCTTACGCTATGGGAAGATAAAAAAATGTTTCATCCCCCACTTTACATGTAGGGGAGGTAGGAGGGAAAAGCCTTTTTAAGATTATTATTTTTATTTTATTACACCTACTACATTGTCGGCGTAAACGTAATAATTTACGTTATATAATATAAATCGTTTTTGAACTAACGCGCAGACGGACGGACAGACATTGCGAAACTATAAAAGTTCCTTGTTAACTAAAAACTATAAAATTGAAAATAAAAGCGCCTTTTCTTGATAAAAGACAACAAATATTTCAAAAATCTAAATCCGTTTTTAAAAGGACAGTGGCGTCATCTAGCAAGAACAGCTAAACGTAAAATTTTATTTGTCGCTCTATTATTAATTCGCCATCAAATTATAATAATGGTAAAACCACAAACAGAATACGAAAGCTACTTTTTTGATAAATATCGGAAAAAATTAAAACTACAAACATAAAAAAGCCGTTTTAAAAATACAGTAGCGTCATCTAGTGATTAGTAGCGTCAGTTAAATGTAACATTTTACTGTTTTGACCTATTAATAACTACCCATTAAATTATGTTATTGGAAACACTGCAAAATTGAAAACTAAATCTACTTTGTTTGATAAAAATCGGAAAAATTAAGACTACAAACAGTTACAGTCAATGACAGCGTCATCTCTTGATCGGTAGCGTCAGTTAAATGTAACATTTTCGTGTAAGTAAACCAACAATAATTTTGCATTGAATATTAGCGACAACGGTTCTTTCCGTATGAATAATTAAAAAATACATATATTTACAAAGAAAAATCGAACTGTAAACAATAGTTACTATGGTTACAATGCCCTATATGAACTTCCACTCTCATTTTCATCCCTTTATGTGTTATTTTTCGGGATAAGATAAAAGGCAGTCATAACCTGTCGCGGACTTTTTAGAACTTTTAAAGGGGTTCAATGAGGAAGTATTTAAAAAAAACGAAAGCACTAAAAAGGCACCTCCACTAGATGGCGACTCTAGCAATAGTTGATTTTTGCAAGAAACGAATGGCCAGTCATTTCCGTTCCTTTTAACTAACAATTAAAAAAACTGAAATTTGCAAAGTTCGAAACTTAGATATCAATACAAATACGAAAAAGTACAAATAGAATATGAGCTCTTTATTGAGTTTTCAAAACTAATTTACTTTTAAACATGAAAAAAAACCGGATAGATTGTCATGGAGAAATCAAGAACGTACCGTAGCGACATCTAGTTTGATTTCGGGAACTAATTCTTTTTTTAAATACTTCCTCATTCAATTTCGTAATACGTCCGTATTTTGCGTATCTTTCACCGTTTACGCAGCGCACGCAAGGAAAGCTCTCGAAAAATAAAATATTCACCGTTTCTGCTGTTCCACTCCTGGTCGTTAAAGCGTGATACTCGTATTATATAGCCTGTAGAATTTCTTCCTCGAATTCGAACTTTTTAACACAAAAATATCTCAAATCGAACTTAGATTTAGATTATAGAGATCAACCAAAACAAACAAACTCTTCTCCTTTATTAGTATAGATGATACACTGGAGACGGGACCTGATACTGCCTCTGATGCACAGATAATCTACACAGATATGATTTGAACAGAATTATGAGAACGATTTAGAATTTTCGTTCGAGGACAAATAGAATAGTCCCTCAGGTGTCATGTTAACTTATACGATTTGTACAATCATAGTGACAGTTGGAGTAGCTCCATGGAGTAATAGATAATCACTATCGTCCGAGATAGTAGTTGTTAAGCAACTTTCGCAATGGTCAGTCACGGGATGGGTGACCAAAAATTATTATCTCCGTGCTTCAGACGTTAAGCCGTTGACGTGAAGGCACGTGAAGCCATCCAATCCGCATTGGAGGGTATTAACGCATGGATGGCGTTGTCCATCCTCTTTAACCACCCACAAGGCCTAAGCCCCTCCTGTGGGGACGTAAATGGGATGATGATGATGATGAGTAACGGTTTACGGGTAATTACCCAATTATAAAAACACCATCCACTCTGTGAGCGCGTTTACGTATCGTTTTCTCTTTTGTCTTTATGTTCAGCTTTAAACTATGTCCTAAAGTAGCTCTCGTGATTTTCACACGATGCCTATAAGACCGGTCGTCACATAAATAAACGTTAGATTGCAAGTCAAATATAAACGAGG